CCCCAAAGATTTCCTCCTACCACATCAGTAGCTCCCCAGCCACTTTGAAGGTTTTCGCTACTGGGGGACACGCCACGCCACTTCACACAACGGCTCATGCTCATGTTAGACAGTTAAAATCTTATAAATTCTTACTCTGAGTTGAAATTCCATTGCTTCTTAACCTAATTCTATTCTTTAGAGTGATACAGAACAACTCTCCTCTACCTTCTATATAATCCTCTGAGTATTTGAAGACAAGCTTTATGTCTTTCTATATTTTTTCCATCTCCATATTAAACATTACCAATTCCTTCAATAAAATCTCACATGAACATGGTTTCCAGATGTTGCTGATAAATTTGAGTTGCAGTTTGACTCTAAAATTTCCCTAATGTGAATACAAAGAAGAGATCTGAAGATTCATTTATTTCTAATTTATTTGCATCTTTAGTCAACAAATTGGAGGGACTGTCCAGAACTCCATAGGCTCAGGAGCTGTATTCTTTCTGATAACTGATGCCCCCACTCCCAATGCACACACATGCAAGCAGGCTTTCTCCCTTTCTCCCTTTTTCTTCCCCTCCTCCCTGTCTTACCACCACCACCACCACAGATACACACACATCCCAGTCATAGAGGTAGTTCTGTAATACAAGAACAGTCAAAGAACACTGTCTCTCCAGCCACAATGATTGGCTGAAAGAACACACAAGCTGAAATTTGTCAGTTATTCTCCAAGACTTCTCAGAAAAGAAACTCTCAAGGAACTCAGAGAAGGCCTGCTTTCCTCTTGGCTTGCTGAGCTATTAGATGTGAAGGTCATTCATCCACCTCATGGAATGAGCACAATTTAGTAGAAGGAGATCACTATGCAAAAGAGTGTGGGGACAGAGATCCTAGTTCCAGTCAGTCCTGAAACCACCTCTACTCTTTCCTGGGGAGTAGTAACATAAGTAACTCCACTCTGGCTGGATTAAGTTTGAGTTAGGTTTGTATCACTTATAACATAGAGATAGGTCTAATATAATATCCAGATGGCTCCTATTGAAACAAGACCAATGGCATACAGGTCATAAAGCAGAAAGATTGCCACCCAACCTATAAGAGGATGTGATGGGATATCTTCCAGCATTATTTAAGAATTGGCATTATACTCACCTAACAAAATCTGTCTGTCTTCTCTAACTGCCTAGGCTCCATGGGACTGACACTGCTCAAAATTCTAAGACCATCATCATGCCTGGCACATAGTAAATAGGTACTTAAAATACCTTCTCCTACAGAGACAAACTGATGATGAAGTAGGCAAAACACTGAATTTAAATTATGAAAACAAAATATGAATTCCCTGGAGAAACCCTAAGCATATCATTTCACCTTTTTAGAGTTAGATTACTCATGAAAACTGTGGGACTAGATTATCTCTTTGGTCTTTTTTTAGCCACAAAATGGTATGTTTCTATCCATACTCAGTAACCAAGGATCAGTTCATGCATATTAAGAGGAAAAACATTCAGTAAAAAAGAAAGAAGTCTAAGATAGTGTGAAACAATAACATACCAAGTAATAATTGGGAGTAAAAAAAAAGCAACACAAAACTAACAGGAAGAAGTTATCTGCAATATGAGAAAAGAAGTCATTCAGATGTGCCATCTGCCTATTAGCTTCCTGTCTTATTCTAAGCAATTTGTGATTAGAAATTACTTCTGTGCTGGATCCACACTGCTAACCCAGAGGCTTGCTCCTTCATGAGCAAGTGTAATTTCCATGATGGATCCTTCAACCCTTCCAAACGTCCCTTTTCAGAGTAGCACTCTTGCTTGGGCCTTTCTCCCAGATTTTCCTACCTCCTCTCACCATTTCAAATAGTTTTTTTTTTCATAAATAGAATGCCTATTATATTGTGTGTCCCCCATCCCCTGCTCCTTATCCTGCCCCCTGCAATGATTAATGTCCAAATTCCATAATTTCCAATTTATTGCTTAAATTTAGAACTTAGGATTCTCAGTACAAAAATAAATAAATAAAATGGCATCTCTATAAGTAAGTCAAGGTAACCCATTTATACCCAAGCTGCTCTAAGGAACTGACCTCAGATCCTTTTGGGAAAAAAGGCCTTTATTAGGAAAAATATTATTAAAATTAGCAACTAATATCACAGTACTACTATATATCACATATTAAGTCTTAAGTACTGTATACCAGCAGTTTATACTATGCATATAAACTATGCTAAGCATTTTACATATATTAGCTCATTTAGTTCTCATAATATCTCTGTAAGGGACATTCTAATTATTCAAATTATTCTAATTATTTAAAGGTGAAGAATCTGAAGCTCAGAAAGAGTAACTTACTGGTTACATGGCTGGTTAATACAAGGACCACATCCATCTGTCTCCAGATTCCTAGCTGTTACCCATTACTTGATCCATAAGGGCACTGATCTTTGAGAGAAATGAGGAGGAGGTACCAAGGGAGGATCAAAAGCAGAGAGCCTAGGCAAATAAAATCAGCAGGATCTACTTCTCAGTTTTGCTTAGAGCCAGCCCTATTTGAAATAGAACCTTGTTCCCATTATGTAGCAATAGATTATCTGCCATTTTGCATTGTGAAAATGTACCCTCCATTATCCAGGCTAATCTGGTTGACTGTAGAACGCTGTACACAAACATTACAATGACAGACAACTAATTCAGTCTTCTCTGCTAGGAAGATGCTAAGGTTAACATCTTTTCAACTTTATTCCTATAGCTTTGGATGCAGGGTGCTTCACTTATTTCACAACGATTCCTTCCTAGAGAAGAAAAGCAATTGAGAATTGCTGGGAAAAAGAGAGGATAGTATTTTTAAAAAAAGAGGATTATAAAAAGTGATACAAACAAAATACTACCATAAGAATTTTTTGAAGAAAATTGGGGCTGGGGTTGTGGCTCAGCAGTAGAGTGCTCATCTAGCACGTGCAAGGCCCTGGGTTGTTCGATCCTCAGCACCACATAAAAATAAATAAATAAAAATATTGTGTCCAACTAAAAAAATAAATATTAAAAAAAGAAAACCAGTATAAGTGAATTGAGTATTTGATAACTTGTGATTTGGAGAGAAATTAATATTTATGATCCATCACTAAATAAAGGAAATAATTACACTGTGCCATATAAATCATATGTTTAAATGGTCAAGCTGAAATTTTCCTACATTATGAAATAGAGATATTCAGTATTTCCTACAGAAGTAACACCTTACTGTTTGTGATCTATGCAGGGCTTCATTTAATGGCAGCATCATTTCATCACTCAGCAAAAAAGCCAATTATTTTTACATTCTGGGCCCTCCTCTAACTTCTAAATCTTCATCTATTCACTAAGACATTGGTTTAAAAAAATGAATCCCTACTAAACAGTCATTAGGTATTTCTGTGTGATAATAAAAGTCTCAGTTTTAGTGAAATAATAGCTAGGAAGCACACTAGCAAACTCTGGTGTCAAACAGGAATAAATAATATCTAAATAAAAAGAATACAGCATAGGATGAAATATAACAGATGAACTCACTTAAGTGAGCATGCTTATGTTAAAAAGTTTGGAAGTAATACTTGGCTGTTTTAGGACCAAATGAAGTGGCAGAATCTAAAATAACATACCATTAAAATTTTTTAAAAAGAAGGTTCCAAAGTATCCTACTGAGAGACTCTAATGCCCTCATTCCAAGCCCAGTCAGTTTCTTATTCTAATCAATTTCCATGAAACAGGGAAAGAAGCAGGGAGGAGAGAGAGTATTTGAAAAACTACCAGAGTAAAAAAAAAAAAAATCCTATAATGAAATTTTGCTCATACTTGGAGAAATGAAGTAGAATTAGATGCTTCAGTGGCGGCGAATTCCAGAATCTGGGTAGTTTCCAGTAAATGAAGCTTTTCCATAATGTCAAATGCAAAAGCTGTCTGATACCAACATTACTGAGCCGAGTGTTTAAATTCCTATTTCCTTAACACCAAATTGTTTGAACCTTTGAGATAAAAACTTCAATAAACTAGTGTTCCAAGCTTTTAATATTTTAGTCCCTTGAGCAAGCATGTCAGATTAATCTTCAGATTGCAATGGGCATAAAGAGCATTCAACCAAATTCTTAAACCCATGCCTCTCTCAAAGGATGTTAATAGCATAAGCAGTTTCATTGACTATTAGATTTCAAACTTTCCTAATCTTCAACTGCGTTACCACTTTCTAAAAGGGGGCGGAGTGGGGGGGGAGGAGCCATTCCCTCGTTAAAGCAAAGTATGTTACTTATGTGATCTTTGTACCCACTCAGTTAGTATAGCACACTGCCAGGCACACCGTAGGCATTTAACAAATATTTTTGAAAAAATTTGATAGAATAGCCTGAGAGAGAGTGGAAATCTTGCTGAGAACAGCATGAGCCCAAATCCTGGCACTGCTGGGTAACAAAGACCATCTCCAGAATTAGGGTTATCGATATAAAGCAGGAATTTGCGGGTGGATCTTCAAAGAGCCATCAGGAGGATTGTTTTCTGAGCTGGTGGGCAGTCACCCAAGAGCCACTTATGAAGAGATTATATTCCTCTCCTCTATATCATGCCTGGAAAACTCCTGCCCTCCACCACCACCACCTCCCCCTGCCTTTTCCTGGGTTTGGGGTTCCGCCACAGAACTTAAGTGTAAGATTCCAGCCTCTGGTCTAACCAGCCCCCGATCCCATAGCCATTCCACGGTGTTCATTGAGCAGACAGGATACACAGCACACGACAGCTCCCTACACCTTCGAAGGTGAAAGCAGGAGGTGGGAGGGGGTAGCGGAAAGCAGGGGGAACTAAAGAACTGGTGAGTTCAAGATCCCGGCGCTAACCAGAGATTTCTCATCCCTCACCCAAAGCCTCGGCCCCAACCGCTACAAAAGGCTGACAGGGAACTCGGGGCCGCCTGGGGCCGGGACTTGGGGGAAAGGGGCAGCACTTGGGGCAGCAAGGTAGCAGGAAGCTAGACGGGACATGGGACAGTACCTGGTGTGGCTGTGGTTGCGGGGGCAGTCCTTCTTCTCCATGATGGCCGGCACGCAGTTGGTGAGCTCAGTCCAGTCCGCATGCAGCCCGCAGCTCCAGCCGGTGGAGAAGCGGGAGAAGAGCCACGTCTCCTTCTTGCCGGGCCGGTGGCAGGTGCACTTCTTCTGGCCGGCTTTGCAGCTACAGGGCTGCTCCAGCCGGATGTTCTTCACCAGGTGCCGGCCGAACGTAGTGCCCCCGGTCTTCTGGATGTGCAGGAACACGATCACGTCGCGCCCTTTAATGTTGAAATCCACGAAGCGAGTCAGGTCCTTCAGGGTGAAGTTGAAGCGCGGCACGAAACGGGGCAGGGACCCGTTTTCGGGGGCCTCGGGGTCCGGCTCCTCTTCCTCTTCTTCCTCCTCCTCCTCTGGATCCCCCGGCTCCTCGTCTTCGTCCTCCGGCGCCGAGACCCCCTGCATCCCTTCGGGCGGCCCCCGGGGCGGCGGCGGCAGCTGGGGCCGCCGCTCCCACTCCTCCGGAGGCGCCTGTGCGCGGCGGGCGGGACTCGGGGCGGCTGGCGGGCGGGCCTCCCCCGCGCGGGGCTGCTCCCCGAAGTTGGTGCAGGAGCTGGTGCAAGAGGGGGACACGTACTGGTACATGATGACCACGAAGAGGAGAGTGAGCACCGGCGTCAGCAGCCACTTGTTGAACCTTTCATCCATGGTCCCGCTCTCAGGCCGGCAGGTGAAGCGGCGGCGGCGGCGGCG